TTTTTTTTTTTTTTTTTTTTTTTTGGTCTTTTGTCTTTTTCCGTGTCCGGCAACGAATTGCAACCCTCAGTGTTGCCCCCGTACCGGACCGGGGACCGGCAACGGGATCGCAACCCTCGGTGTTGCTCCCGCGCCTCGCTCAGCCAGTGAGCGGGAACCGGTCTGTATGTGGGATCCGAACCCTTGGGCGGGAGCGCCGCCGCGCTTCCCAAGCAGTGCACTATCCAGTGCGCCACCGGGCCGGCCCAGGTCCCTCTCTTTTGGATGAATCTTTTCACACCCAGCTCAGTTGTCACTGCTTCCATGAAGTTTTCCTAATCTCCCAAGCATCATTATATACTGTTGGCTGCAATAATAATCTATAGGACCTTCTGTTATCACCCACCTCAATCTGTGCTGTATTTTTTTTATGTACTGTTTGTCTTCCCTGTTAGAATATAAAGTGTCCAAAATTAACATATATTCAACTTGGAGAACCCAGCCTTACTACTTGTGAACTGTATACATTTAGGCAAGTTACTTAGACCCTTGAAGCCTAAGATCTAACAGTTTGTAAAATTATTTGTAAAAGTGGAGGAGATAATTTCTACTTATGAGTTTGGTGCCTGGAATACTGAACTAGCCCTGGAAAGTAGACATGGCCAAAAGTGTCCATAAAAGCAGGGTGTCCAGTGGGGCCAGAGGGAGTGCTGAATGGGGGTTCCGTGGGACACGGAAGGGCCAGAAGGCCCAGGAGTTCGGAGCAGCGTCAGTGTTAGTAGGTAGTTGGCTAGACCAGGCCCCATTTGAGAGCTGGCCAGAGTGTCAGAGCTGGCCTGTCCCTCCCCTCTCCCCACAGTCCGCATCTGGGCAGCCTGGGCTGACACCTCCTTGGCACCACACAGACAACAGCCATGGCCTGGCCATGCAAGGGTGCCCCAGGCCCTCTGCCCTTCACCTGCTCTGCAGCTATAAATCGGTGGTTTCCCCTTCCTTGACTATTCCAAATGCCGCCCCACCTTTCCTTCTCCCCACAATTCAAACCACGAGGGGATGGATCCCCTTGACATCTTGAGGCGGGCCAGCCAAGTGTGGAGCTAGAGGAAGGAAGACTGGCTCTCTTGCTCCTCGCTGCTGCCAGTGGAGAGGGATGAACTTCACAGCCGCAGTTTTCCATTCTCCTCCCAGCTGCAGGTGATTTAAGCTTGTTGGATTTATATAACACTGGGAAACGATAAACTGTGTAAATTTGCTATGTTTTCCAGGGACAGTTATTTATGGAGGGGCATTTTTAACTCAAGTGCTAGAAGTGTTAAATCATTATAATAAATTCATGCTATTCAGACTTTCTTACATTGTAATAAATTTTTTCTAAGCATGAATGAGGAGATCCACGATTCCTTTAATATACCATTATGTATTTCTTCTCAAAATGACACAGCTTACTACATCAAGTTGGAGAATAATAGAAGGAGATTTACTGTGTTGGAGGAGAAAAAAAACTTGAGCAGTGACGAGTCTGAGAAGGGCCTTGGGAGGAACATCATGAGCAGAATTTCTCCTTGCTTCTCTGCTTACTTCCTACTCGGATGGAGCCATACCAGGGGAATGTCTAGCTAGGGTTACATCCCCTCGGTCTCCCACCTGAGCCTAGGAAGAGCCTTTGAGCAGAGGAATGGGGCAAAGGACCCCAGTGGCCTCTATCCTGTTGGGGGGGTGTATTATTGGAGAAGGGCTCTATTAGAAATGAAAACTGTTCTCTCCCCATGACGTCAAATCCCTGCCAAAAGCATCCATCTAGGTAGAGAGTTGTCCTGGATATAGCCCTCTTTCCTTACCTCACTCCTCACCTGGAAGCTCACCTGGACTAGATTCTCAAAGGAATCTATGATCCAAAAAATTCAGGAATCGCTGAGTCTTGGGTGAACTCTGAAGTATTTTCTGAGTATCCGGTATATGCTAGGCAAGTCCAATACATAATTCTTGACCTCCAGCAGTGTACAGTGTGGTGAGGCAGAAGGTCAAGTTGAGTTGTAGGTGGATTCTCTGAGGTCAGTGCACAGAGGTCTGAACAGCAGCCTCCGGGACAATCCCTTCCTTAGTGCCAATTTTCTGTATTAGTCCATTTATGTTGCTTATAATGAATACCTGAAAATGTGGAAGTAGCTTTGCAACTAGGTGAGAGGGCAGAGGCTGGAAGAATTTGGAGGAGCAGACTAGAAAAAGCCTAGATTCTGGTGAGGGCTTAGAAAACAAGAGGACCAAGGAAAGTTCAGAAGGTCTTAGAGACTGATTAAGTGGTGGTGATCAGAATGCTGATAGAAATATGGACAGTAAAGGCCATTCTGAGGAGGTCTCAGATGGAAATGAGGAAAAGTTTATTGGAAACTCGAACAAAAGTCACCCTTATTTTAGAGTACAAAGAACTTGGCTGCATTCTGTTCATGCACAAAAGCTTTATGGAATGTGGAACTTAAAAGTGATGACCCAAGGTATTTGGTGGAAGAAATTTTTTTTTTTTTTTAAATGATGACCGGTAAGGGGATCTCAACCATTGACCTGGTATTGTCAGCACCATGCTCTCCCAAATAAGCCAACAGGCCATCCCTATACAGGGACCAAAACCCACGGCCTTGGAGTTATCAACACCACACTCTCCCAAGTGAGCCATGGGCCGGCCCTGTGGTGGAAGAAATTTTTAAGCAGCAAAGCATTCAGGTAGCTGCATGGCTACTTGTAAGAGCCTGTGCTGAGTTATGGCAGCAAAGACATGACGTATAGCCAAAATTTATAATTAGAAGGGAATAAGAAGGTAAAAAATTGGAAAACTTTAAGCCTGGCCACATAAAGAGTAAAAACAAAACATGTTCAATAGAGAAAACCAAGGGTGTAGCCCAGTGACTTTCTGCTGAGGAAATTAGAACAAAAGGAAGGGATCATCGAGAGAATGGAAAAAAGACGCCAAAGGCATTGCAGGGATCTTCAAAGCTACCCCTCCCATCACAGGCTCAGAGACCTAGGGAGACAGAATGGTTTTGGGGAACAGGCTTGCAGTGCCCTCCATGGGCTCGCCTCCCAGAGCTACCCCAGAAAGCTGCTCCCTGTGTTCCAGCACAGTCTCCTCAGCTGCCCCAGCTATAGCTAAAATGGCTCTGGGTGCTGCTGGACCTGCAGCTTTCAAAGAGACAAGCTGGAAACCTTGGTGGCATCCATATTGTGCTAAATTTGTAGGCTCGTAAAATGGAAGAGCTGCAGAATCCCAATTTCAAAGGATGTATAGAAAAGCCTGGAGGTCCAGGAAGAGATTTGTCCAAGGGCAGAGTCACCACAGAGAGCCTTCACTAGAATGATGCTGAGTGGAAATGTGGGGTGGAGTTACAGCAGAGAAACTCCACCAGGGCCATGCCTAGTGGAGCCATGGTAGGACCGTCATAGAGATCCCAGAACTGTAGAGCTACCAGCATGCAGCGCCAGCCTGGGAAAGCTGAAGCATGGGCTGAGCAGAGGAAAGCCATAGCAGCAAGGCTGCCCAAGGACTTGGGGGCCCAACCCCTGCACCATTATGCAGAGGATGCCGAACATAGAGTTAAGGGAGATTATTCTCTAGCTTTGAGATTTGATGCCTGCCCTGCTGGGTTTCAGGCATGCTTAGGACCTGTTACCCCCTTCTTTTGGCCTATTTATCCCTTTTTGAACAGGAATATGTGCCTTACGTTTGTCCCACCATTGTATCTTGTGGTAACTTGTTTTAATTTCACAGATAAGACTTTGGACTTTTTGAATTGGTGCTGGGACAAGTTAAGCTTTGGGGGTTATGGGGATGAAATTAATGTATTTGTATGTGAAAAGGACATGAGTTTTGGGGACTAGGGTGGTATTCTGTGGATTGAACATCCCCCCCAAACTCATTGAAGCCTGATCTCCATTATAACAGTGTTAAAGAGGGTAGTAAATCCGATTATGGTATTTGAAAGGGGGGGCCTCTAAGAGGTGATTAGATTGTAAGAACTGTGCCCTCGTGAATGGATTGATCCATTCATGGAATAATGAGTTGATGGTTTAATGGACTTCGTGGGGGTGGTTCTGATGGCTTTATTAGGAGGGCGAGTGAGAAGGTTAACTGTCTTGCTCATGTGGTTTTCTTGCCATGTGACAACCTGATCTCCACGGGACCCTGTAGAGAGTTCCCAGCCAGAAGAAGCCCTCACCAGATATGTTCCCTGGACCTTGGACTTCCCAACCTTCTAAACTGTAAGAACTAAATTTCATTTTCTTTATAAATTACCCAGTTTCAGGTATTCTGTTATAAGCAGCAGAAACAGACTAATACAGGCTTCAACCAGAATTTTCCCAGGCAGAACAACGTGTTCAAAGGCATGGAGATGAGGAACCCCAGGGTGAGTGAGCTCATGGACAGCCCTGATTGCTAAGCCTGATGCTTAAACTTTGAGCATCAGCAGAGCCAAATGGAAAGAGACCTGCATAGATTCCAATTCTTGGCAACAGTTTACGGTTTACTTAGTGCTCCATCAGAGGCTTAGGTTCATGTCATTGCTCTACCACTGTAGCTGTGTGACATCGTAGAAGTCTCTTCACCGGTCCAAACTCAGTGCCTCTATCTGCAAAATGTAGGTAGCACACACATGCACACTTGCCTCACCTGGCTCAAAGTCTGCATGGGAATCTGATGAAAGGATGCTTATGCACCTGCTGGGTAAACAACTGCAAAAGAACTTCACACATACCAGGTGCTTTCATAATTTGTCTGAAAGCTAGCAAGGAGCAGTGGGCCCCTCTGAAGCATGTAGAGTGGGGGATTCTATGACAGCCAGGCAGGTCTGGGCCTGCCAGCTCCCACCCATTGTTGCTTTCCTGCTGCATGTGACCACCTCAGCCAGAGCTTCCAGCTCCCTTTGTAGCCTCCAGCAAGGCTCTCCACTGCCACACTTGCCCTCCATTTCTCCCACCAGCCTGGAACCTCATGCCCCATGCAGGGGCCTGGCTTCTCAGGCCACCTCTGCCTCAACAGCCCCTGCTCTCCAGACCCCAGCCTTGAGGAGTGTCAGCAGCAGATGGAGCCAAGAGCTATTCTGGGGTTAGGACCTCTGAGTTGTCCACATGGCCACCTGTCTCCAGCAGGTATGACTGTGGGTGGCTCACCACCCTTCCTTCTCCCCCTCCCCGCCCCAGCCTCCACTCCTCACCTCTAGTATTTTCAAATTTGTCTCTTTCTTCCAAACTGAATAGCTAGTGGCATTGTTTTCTGTTTCGATGGTCAGGATGGTCCTGGGGGTGGGGGTGGGCATCCCCAGTTGTTTCAGGGCCAGGGTGAGTTAGTGTTTCCTTAATGGGCTAGAGGCAGAACCCACAGTGGCTTCGTCACACTGCCCATGACACAAGCTTCTCATGTCCATGTTTGGTGGTTTCTGCTTTGAGGTTCCCCAGAACGTTACTTGGGGAAAACGGGGAAGGAGGGATTGGTCCCTGCAGTGCCTGGTCCACATGGCTGCTAGCTCTCTGCAAGCTAACGTGGCAGATGTTCAAACTGGCCACATTGTTTTTTCCAAATATTTTATTTTGAAGTCAGACTTACAGAAAAGTTCGACAAACAATACAAAGTATTCCTGTATACCCTTCACCCATATTCCCCAAGTGTTAACATTTTAACTTATTTGCTTTATCATTCATTCTTTCTCACACATATGTAAACACCATATTGTTACTTTTTTCTGAAATATTCGAGAGTAAATTACAGACTTAATACCTTTGTTTCCCCTATAGTTCAGCATGTATTTCCTAAAAACAATCTCTTACATGACCACAGTACAATGATCAAAATCAGGAAATTAGCACGAATACAGTACCATTATCTAATTTAACCTATAGGCCTATTTAAATTTTGCTGATTGTTGCACTAATATCCTTTATAACAAACCAAAAAAAAAAATAAAAATTAAAAAGTCTGGCCCAGGATCCAATCCAGGATCACAAGTTGCATTTAGTTGTCATGTCTCTCTAGATGGGTACAAACCATTTATTTCAAAGAACTTTCCCTGATTTGGGTTTGCGTGATGTTTTCTTATGATTCAGATTATGCACTTTCAGCAACAGTAAGTGATGCAGTGTCCTCAGCACCTCAGACCAGGAGGCCCATGAGAGCTATTTGTTACATTCTAGGCAATACTAACTTTGATCACCTAGTTAAGGTGGTATCTGCCAGGTTTCTCCATTGCAATATTACCTATTTTCCTTCTGTAATTTATGTGTCTTGTGGGGGGATACTTTGAGACCATAAATACTGTTTCTTATCTACCTTTTACCCACTAGTTTCATCATCCATTGATGATTCAACACATTCCATTTAGATCCTTAGTCTTCTACC